TCAAATTCTTTTCTTTATTTCTTACAAATATTTCAACACTTAACTTTCATTTCTAATCACAACTTCCTTCTTTGATTTATAATTGACTGATAACAGAGGTAGAAGCACCAGTCTTCTTTCTGGCCTCAATTAGAAATCAGGGATAGTAGTTTCCTTCATTAGGCTGTGATGTTGTTTAAAACTTAGTCCGATGAAAATACAGAACGTATACAACTTCGGTTGATCTTCTGGCTCGGACTGGTTTACCACTTCACTGTCTTAACCACTCTTCGGTAAATAAAAGTTTTCGTTAACACAGGCGTTACGGAATATAGAGGCATAGAATTCCAGTGCCCTATCCACGAATGATTAACGGGAGAGATTATTTACATTTCGCCTTAGAGAGATTAGATTTCCACAATATGAAGAAGGAATATTAGAGAATCCATTTTCGAAGAATTAAAATATCTAGTCCGCTTCATACTGTTAGAAACCTAATCAACTCCCTCCTTGAATCTACATCTATAAACTATTCATCCTTCTCGAGAACGTTAAAGAAGTAAATATTATTCTTCCTACGATACGCAGACATCAAGTGCAGAGTTTAATTGAAGTTATTAAAGAATAAAAAATCGCACGGTAGATTATTACTTGTTGAAGTAATTTTATAAAGACATTTTCTAAAAGATTTATTTTTTTTGTATTGCTACCTTTTATCTAACTTTGGAAATTATCGTAAACATGGGGTTAGATCGATCACCAAGCAAAGGCTCACAGGAAGCCACCAAGCCAGTCTGTCCGATATGCAAAGCTGAAATTAAAACAGCTTCTGAACTTTTTGAAACCACGTGCCATCACGAGTTTCATAAGAAGTGCATTGACGCGCTTTTTAAGAAAAGTGACTTGTGCCCAGTATGCAAAGTTTCCTGCAGGCCAGTGGTCGAAAAGGGGTTACAAACTCGGTCTCAGTCTAAAGGTCGCCAACAAGAAGTAGCCGACAATACCCCAGGTCCATCTGGAAGCGCTCAGAGCAGCAACAATAGTGTTACTGATCAAGCAACAGCAATAAACACAGTCACTATGGTCTCCATGGAGCGAAGACTATTCTCGCTTCTTTCCGAGAAGATTACCGATTTAATCCAAAATACAGTAGAAGAAAGTGTACGGAGATTGATCACTACTCCGCCAAATTATGCTGTTGGCGGCGAAGAGAGACCCGCAACTCCTCCACCGGTAGACGGGGTTGATAGCGAGCCAGTTTCTGGTGTCGAACAAATCCAAAACAGGCATCGGCTCATGCCTAACATAGGTTCCCCAGGCTCTCACCGAAGTAACATGTCCGATCTCCTAACTAGACCCGACAAGGTCGTCCATATTTTAAACGGATGGAAAATTAAATATTCGGGGTCAGGTGTTTCAATAGACAACTTCATTTATAGAGTTGAGGCGCTAACGCATCAAACGTTAGATGGAAATTTCTCGGTACTTTGCCGGAACGCTAGCGTTCTCTTTGAGGGCAAAGCAAACGAATTTTATTGGCGTTACCATAAGTCGGTAACCGAAGTCCGCTGGGATTTGCTATGCTCTGCTTTGCGCATGCAATTTCGCCAGAAAAGGGATGACATTGACATCGAAGAGTTGATCCGAAACAGAAAGCAGAAGCCTAGCGAAACTTTTGATAGCTTTTACGATAGCGTAAATATTTTAGTCGATCAACTAGAACTACCCTGGAGCTCGCGAAAACTTGTCCGAGTTCTCAAAAATAACCTAAGGCCTGAGATACGACATGAACTACTGAATGTCGACATTTCAACAGTCTCAGAGTTAAGAGAAACCTGTCGTCGACGCGAAGCTTTCCTCGACGACGTCAAACGCGCGCACGGGTATAGTAAAGGTAACCCGTTTAGACGCGATATCTCAGAACTGATTCCAGAATCTGATTCTCATAAAGATTCTGAGTCGGAAAATGATCTGGAAGTAGACGCGTTTTCTTTAAAATGCTGGAATTGCCGAAAAGATGGACACATTTACCAGGATTGTTTAGCCGATAAACGACTTTTTTGCTACGGCTGTGGAGCAGATAACACCTACAAGTCAAATTGCGTGAAGTGTGCAAAAAACTCCAAGTCCGGCGCTTCGAAGTTGCCGTACAAACCGAAAACTTCGAATACCTATCGCAATCAGTCAACAATGACCGATTAGACGTGGATGCACCATTCCTTGCACCACAAATTATCCCTGACGTTCCAAAAAGCAATGTCAGTTCTTTGCTGCATTGTAAAGTTAAAAATTTACCTGATATTTCAAATCCAAAATTTTGTCACGACCCTCCCTTGGAAAGATTCAAATCTCGGAGTTCTAAAAGAATCAAATCGTTTTGGCAAAACATTAGAACCTGTCGGCTGGGATTGAAATATATCTGTTCAGTTCCTATCGGAACACGAGATCCTAGACCGTTTTTGCCGATTCGTTTATTAGATCGCACTGTGTATGGTTTACTTGACTCCGGGGCATCCATAAGTTGTTTTGGAGGTGATTTAGCTAGCGAACTCATGAAGAAGGATGATGCTTACAAGTCGTTAAACGTTAGTGCTACCACGGCAGATGGAAGCCCACAACGGATAGTAGGCAAGATGAAGGTTGACATAGAATATGGAAACATTCAAAAGTCTCTAAACATTTATATTGTGCCATCACTAAAACAAGATCTATACTTGGGTATAGACTTTTGGAGGCTGTATGGTCTTCTTCCCAGAAATCTGAATATATCCGAGCTAGAATCTAAAGAATCTAGCAAAGTCAGCAGCGAGGTCGAGGTAGATCAACACGACTTGTCTGAGGCAGAAAAGTTACAATTAGCCAATGTTATCAATTGTTTTCCTTCATTTACTCAGGAAGGCCTTGGCAAGACTAGTTTGATCACACATTCAATTGACGCCAAGCCAATTAAACAGCGCCATTTCCCTGTCTCACCTGCTGTTGAGAAGAGTATGTACGCTGAAATAGACAGAATGTTGCAATTAGGGGTTATTGAAGAGTCGGAAAGCGCCTGGTCCTCTCCCATAGTCATGGTCACAAAACCTGGCAAAGTCAGGATTTGCCTAGATTGCCGGAAAGTCAATAGTTTTACCGAAAAGGACGCCTATCCGCTTCCTCAAATCAGCGGCATCTTAAGTCGGTTGCCAAAAGCCGAGTATATTACTAGCCTTGATTTGAAAGATGCCTATTGGCAAGTGCCGTTGGAAGTTCAATCCCGAGACAAGACTGCATTTACAGTCCCTGGTAGGCCACTCTACCAATTTAAAGTAATGCCTTTTGGGCTTTGCAATGCCACCAGCACAATGTCTCGCTTGATGGACAAAGTCGTCCCAGCGCATCTCAGGAACGAGGTGTTCGTATACTTAGATGACCTCCTGGTAGTATCGTCAAACTTTGAGAACCATCTTGACGTACTTAGGGAGATTGCCGTTCACATCAAGCGTGCAGGATTGACAATCAATATTGGCAAAAGTCATTTCTGCATGCGACGTGTACGTTATCTGGGGCATATCATTGGCGATGGCGGAATTCGAACAGATCCTGAAAAGGTTAAAGCAATCACCGAGTTTCCTGTCCCGAAGACCCTGCGAGGTTTAAGGAGTTTTATGGGTTTATGTGGTTGGTACCGCAAATTCGTTCCGAATTTTGCCTCTCTCGCTTCTCCTTTAACCGATTTAATGACAACCAAACGAAGGTTCAGTCTTACACCAGATGCTCTAAAAGCATTTGAACTCTTGAAGAGTCGTCTCAGCGAGGCTCCGGTGTTATGTAGCCCGGACTTTTCTAAGCCATTTGCCATCCATTGCGATGCTAGCAAGTCTGGTGTCGGTGCTGTGTTGGTACAGGTTTCCTCCGAAGGAGATGAACGCCCTATAGCCTTTATCTCGAAAAAGCTGAATCGAGCTCAAAGAAACTATACCGTGACCGAACAGGAGTGTTTGGCAGCGATAGTAGCCTTGAAGAATTTTAGAGCTTACGTGGAAGGACATGATTTCACGATCATTACCGACCACGCCTCGCTTAAATGGCTTATGTCCAACCATGATCTCAGTTCTCGTTTAGCTCGATGGGCGTTAGCTTTGCAAAGATATCGATTTAAAATTGAGCATCGCAAAGGAACGATGAACGTGGTTCCCGATTCCTTGTCCCGCGTTAACGAGGACGAAGTTGCGGCAGTTGATTTGCAGGAAGGTTTGCTAGTTGATTTAACTTCCAACCACTTTAAATCTCCTGCTTACAAGGATCTGATAGCCAAAGTTGAGGAGAAGAAAGCTAATTTTCCTGATCTTAAAACAGAGGACGGGTACTTGTATAGAAAGGCAGAACATTTGACAGGAGAACAAGTACACGATGAATATGCATGGAAACTTTGGATACCATCAGAGCTGGTCCCCGAAGTTCTTTTTCAGGCTCACAACAGTCCGTTGGCTTCCCATGGCGGGATACACAAGACTGTTGAGCGCGTTAGGAGGTATTATTTTTGGCCTCGCCTCGTGCCTGACGTGAAAGCATACATTAATGCCTGTGAGACATGTAAATCGACTAAACCACCAAATCATGTTCTCAGACCACCGTTAGGAAAAGCGCCAGAAACCGTACGGCTTTTTCAGCGAATTTTCATCGACTTTCTCGGACCTTACCCACGTTCAAGAAGTGGAAATATCGGGATTTTCATAGTCCTCGATCATTTTTCGAAGTTTGTATTCCTCAAACCGGTAAAGAAGATAAACGCAAGCGTTGTAATAAAGTATCTTGAGGGGGAGCTATTCATGACATTCGGAGTCCCCGAAACCATTGTGTCAGACAACGGATCCCAGTTTCGCTCCGAAGCGTTTCAGAAGCTGATGAAGCAGTACGAAGTCTCACACATTCTAACTGCTGTTCATTCACCGCAAGCCAACGCTTCTGAACGCGTGAATCGTTCAGTCATTTCAGGGATTAGAGCATACTTAAGACCAGATCAAAAGGACTGGGACGAGTACCTTAACAAGATATGTTGTGCTTTAAGATCTTCAATCCATTCAAGTATAGGGACCACACCATACTATATGGCGTTTGGCCAACATATGGTTACTGCTGGTTCGACTTACGCATTGTTGAGGAGGTTGAATATGCTAGATGACCGATCTCTCATGTTTAATCGACAAGATTCGTTCGAAATAATTCGTGAGGAAGCTGGAAAGCAAATGCAAAAAGCTCACGATGTGAACGAAAAAAGGTATAACTTACGCTCAAGGGAAGTATCGTTTGTACAGGGACAAGAGGTATTTCGCCGAAATTTCAAGCAGAGTTGCTTCCAAACGGGCTACAACGCCAAGTTTGGACCGTCATTTGTAAAAGCCCGTATTAGGAGGAAAATAGGTAACTCTTACTATGAGCTTGAAGACTTACAAGGTCGATTACTAGGCAATTATCACGCCAAGGATATTCGACAATAAAGTCACTCCAGGCGTTATCAGTCTAGGGTATCTAGAACTAAATACCCTAGTCTGATTGTAGCGGGGGGGTTTTGTAACGGCGCCTGAAGCGACTTGGTTTAGAATTTTCGCCTAAAAGCTGACTGCAAAATAGTTAAAGCGGGGTTTATCTTAGGTAGTTACCAACCATTCCAGATTTCGAAACAGCTGTTTCAGAGATGCAGTGGAAAGCTCGATTCTGGCACCTGTCATATGCATCTGCCACGAACTTCCGCCCATACCCTAACCGCACCTATCCAAAATCCGGTAGCGTTCTTCTCTTTTCGACCACCGTGATAGCCAGACGTACAATCCGTCCGCGTTTTCAATTCGCTATTTGAAATTTTTGAAATCATAGTGAACATAACGCGAAACGGGCTAAAGTCAATCCCAATCCCAAGCAGCAGAGAAGACATAATTTGTGTTTTGCGGGTTACAGAAGAATTCTGATGTAAGTGAAAACTCACAAAAGGCAGAAATTTTCCAATTTAACCCCAAAATATTCTCTAGATATCTTTCCTCCGGGTCACGATTGGCGTAAAAGCCTCGTCTAAGATCCATTTTACTGCCGCCGCAGAGAAGTGCCCTCTGGGGCTTATAAATTGGAATACCTCGCTGGAAACGACGTTTGGAAAATTCCAAATCACCCTTACCGTACGGCGGGGGCATGATCAGCAGGTAGATAAATATTATTTCGGTGGGAAAACCATGAGCTTGTGCTTATAAGGCTTTAATTTGTTCTAGATTGTGCCCCACATTAATATTGGCGTTTAAATAAGCAAGATCCAAGGCGCTTAAAAAAGGAGATTCGACCCACATAACCTACAGCGAAGGCATCACGTGGCATGGCAGTCTAAACCTTATTTTTTTTAAGTGATCGCTTATCTAACCTAAAGCCCAACGACCATGTTTTTCCGGGAAATAAAGTAGATGTCAGCCAGCTAATTCCCGAAAAGAATCTTACCTACACAAACCAATAAGTGGTAATCGCGCGCCTAATGCTTTAAATTTCCCATTCACCGGTTGGAATCTGAATTCCACGATCCACAGTCCACTGGGTTCCATTACCTAATTCCAATAAGCCGAAACGGTAAAGAAAATTCGGTATACCTTCAATTTTGCCACGGAGACCTCGCGCTTGGAAAGCTATGCCTTCCCATAACTAAACCTGGAAGGCGACGTTCGTTTTTTTGTAGAATAAAGTAGAGTAATATATAAATCTAATTAAAAATATGTAAAGAAATTTTGTAAAGCGGTTCAAGATTCCAGTTAGGTGACGTTATCGGTTTCGGGCCTCAGAATTTCAATCTAAATAACCTCAAAAGGGTCGCGAGTGTTAAGAGATTTAATTGAATATTATTATTTAACCCCATGGCGACCAAGTTTGCCTGTTACAGCCACCTGCCCGGGAGATCGATCTTTCGCCGCTGGAATGCCTACAAAAATCAGTGAGTTTTAATCTTACATTTATCTTTGCCAAATATATATTCAAAATATCTCACACTTGAACAAATACCCCTTGATTAATAATAAAAAAATAAATAAGCCCTATGGAAAATAAAGTGAATTAAACAAGAGCCCATTGCCGATCGCGACATCTTATGAATAACAAGTTAATTAAATAGATTTTGGCTGGAATGAAAAGAAACATGCTGAAATTATAACGAAGATTTAATTGAATATTTGAAAGTCCCTAATTATCGAATTTCGAGTTTATAATTTAAAATTATCTTTATTTTATATTTCTAATCCTCTATTTTTTTTATTATATACATTTTTATTTACTATACCCTTGCGTCATTTACAATTAAATCTTGAATTACCTCTATTTAAAATTTTTATAAGAGCAGCCATATTATATTCCGATTATTGTTGGAAGACCTTGTAATGAATACAAACTTTATAAATGAAAATGTGTGTGGAATTTAGATCTTAATTAAATGAACACGAATTTAAACATGAACCTTGAGTAGTTCAATATTTTAACTCTGCCGATGATTCTGCGGTCGTAGGGGAAAAGGGGTCACCAGAGCCATGCTCGAGGATGGTGATCATAGGTTGGGTGGGCATCCCGCGACCACTACAACATCTGTGGCATCGCGTTTACTTACTTTTTTTTTTCGAACTTTACTATTCCTTACTATCTTTTCCTGAATCTGTCTATCATTCTCTTCCGGTTTTGAAATCTCGCCTTTCTTCTGTCGTAAGCATGCTCAAATCTTGTCTTAAAAATAATAATGTGTAGCTAGTGTGCCGGTCCGTTTAAGCAAGACCACCACCCCCAAAGCCGACGAGCGAGAGCCGGACCCATAGCATGCACCCGCACGAACGGATCGTAGGACTCACCGCACCCAAGTTACTCGTTACACGCTACAGGGTGCAATATTTATACCCGTTACTCGTAGAGTAAAAGGGTATACTAGATTCGTGTATACGAAGGAAGCGTTACCGACCCCATAAAGTATATATATTCTTGATCAGGATCACTAGCCGAGTCGATCTAGCCATGTCCGTCTGTCCGTCTGTCTGTCTGTCTGTCTGTCTGTCTGTCTGTCTGTCTGTCTGTCTGTCTGTCTGTCTGTCTGTCTGTCTGTCTGTCTGTCTGTCTGTCCGTATGAACGCTGAGATCTCGGGAACTATAAAAGCTAGAAGATTGGCATTTTGCATGAATATTCTAGGAGCTCCTACGCAGGGCAAGTTTGTTTCAAAAAGGTGCCACGCCCCCTCTGGCGACCACAAGCCCCCTCTAACGCCCACAGTTTTGAAGCTATTATGAAAATAGTAACTGATATGTATTCGCTTCGTCAATACCTATCGATTGGCCAAGTAAAAAATTGCCACGCCCACTCTAACGCCCACAAATCCAATAAACGCTTAAACCTGGCCAGCGCCTACGTTTCCGCCTTTCATGACCAATAGTACCAATATCTGGCGGTAGATGGAGCAATACAATATACACTAGCGCCATCTAGGAAATGGCATTGGAAAAAATCTGCCTTTTTTTCTGTGGTCACTTTAATTCACATTATGTTAATGCGGCGCGCATTTTGTCTCTTTTTGCTCGTATACGTTTTTCACAAGTGCATTCACCTGCGCTAGAGAGAGACGGAAGATGTGCTAGGCAGAATTGAAAGTTTTAGAAAGCCTCTTCTAGAAAGAGATCACTGGGTGAAAATCGAGCGGCGAAAAACATATAAGAAGGCATATTTCTATTAAGTTCTTTATCTGAGTAACGGGTATCTAATAGTCGAGGCACTCGACTATAGCGTTCTCTCTGTTTTAATCTTCCTCTCTTCTTTTCTGGGAAAAAGCAAGTGGAAAATATGGTATTTTCACGAGGTTTCATTCACACCACACATTTTTTCACGAAAAGTTAGGTTTGTAGATGGTTTTCCAAAGGAATTTGCATTTCCCCTACAGCATTGTCTGCTAAAAGGAACAGGATTTCTAACACTCATGAATCACCTTCTCACTTTCCCGGTGAGTTCCCACCCTTGCAATCTCGATCGCGAAATATCGCTGTACACATTTAGAGAAAGGGAAGAAAGAAATTTAACGAAAAGTGAATACATAGTTCTTTTCAATTTTGTGACCCATTCTTCTTACCTATCGGAATTTAATGTTAAAGTCATAAAGAAAACAAAATTGTTTCTTGTTCATATCTTTATTAAGTTATAATTTTATAATATATGCACATCTTTTGCCAATTATTAAATATATAGGAACTTTATAAATATGTATTTATACTTCCTTTTTTGCAAGTTTTACACAATATTTGTTGTAACTCTGATTAATACATAGGTTGACATTAAAATTACTTTTACGTTTAGGTTTACTTATACTCAATGTACGAATCAAGTATTTTTATATCGTGAATATTGTTTGAATCGATTAACTATTAGCAAAATTGTACATACATAAGTATATGATTGGCATAAATGTGTTCAGTAATTCCACTGACACACAAAATATATGTAAATTGACAAAGCTCAGATAAAACCGAAAAATTTAAGAAGAAAAAAACGTAGGGTGTGATTCAGCAAACTCTTTGGGTGGATATCGGGTGGAATTTTTCTGATGTAGGTAAGAATTGCACCCTATCTTGTCCCGAAGAAACTTTCGTTTCACATCCGATAAATCAATTCATAACAATGTACGTAAGGTCTTGTAAAAAATTAATATTGGCAAAAGCGAAGAGACGAAACTTTTGAAGGTTTTGTCTAGTTATGTATATGGTGATATGTTATATATTTATACATACACACGTATGTATGTATGATGGTTATCAATTGAGCAATGAAAGTTCTGATCTCTTCTTTGAAATCTCATATTATTCTGTGTGTCACATGTGTTGATCATATATGTATGTATATGTATTAATTTGGATTAGTTTTTCAAACGAATACCTATTTATAATTGCGAGGGCCTAGTTTCGTTATCATATATATATATATTAGAGTGTAAGTCTGCTTTTATGTTCATACTTGTAAATCTGTGGTTGTTGGCAATTATGAATGCTTAAGTACATAGGTATGAAAATAATTATTTTTTAAAATGATTATGGGATTTTAAACACTTCACATATTTTCAATATTCGAACGTTAATATGGACATGTGTAGATTATTTTTTTTTAATTGCCTGTCATAAATTTAAAATTAGATAAACAGAAAATTTTGTCATATATAGTTATTCACGAACTTACAAGTACATATATTTGTATATCTTTTTATTAAATTCTATAGGAACTTCTTCTTACATTTTTCTTATGTCTCTCAACATATCTATATATTTATTTGCAGTTAACAATACACTTATTCATATACGAGTAGGTATGAATGTACGTGATGCGGAATGAAATTGAATAAATCTAAATTTGTGTAATTTAAAACTGTTTTTAAAAAAGGAATCAGTCTAATGCTATTTTTTTCAAGTAACTTTTTATGGGGAACTGTGTCCTTTCAAAATGTTTTTATTTAGATTGCCAGGGAATATGAAAAATTATAAATATAAATAACGGTACAATAATAGGCTGAGATTTGCATTAAAGTCTAAGATTTGTCTTGGAAGCTTTAATAAAAAAATGGGTTTAATTGTGAAATAGTAACTCCCGTCTCTCCCCTAGAAGTTTACATTTATTGTTTTTTGTCTCAAACATAATTTTAAAATAAAAATATATAGGAAAAGTAACTTAAATTAATTTTGTAGTGTGAGTAAATAATTTAATACGCCGTAACAAATATTTAACAAGGAATTCATCTTATTGGTTCAAAGAAACAGTAAAAACTCATGTTTTCATTTAAACTATGTACTTTATCTTCCCTTTTCAAATAGGATGCATTTGCTATAAGTATAGAAATTGAGTACAATATAGTTTTAGAGATGCAATGTTTTTTTATGCTATAAGCATGCATTGCAAAATAAAACATTGGCACATTTACTCTCAGCATAATTATGACATAATAAAATGAATAAAAAGCGGCTTGTTTTATCATGTACAGTTTCCGAAAATTTAATAGGAACCATGTATGTCTTCAGCTTTTGAAATGATTTTAGAAGATCGGCATGCCGAAGCAGATCTTAATATCATCGATTATATTCTAATATAGAAAACAAAGGCATAAAGCAATCAAATGCTAGGAACTCAGTTTACGTTTCATTAAATCTAATTCATTATATATGTATCTATGTTATTAGATATTTTTGGAGCTGCCTTGTTTTTTCGACTTATCAAGGCTAAGCTCTCCATTTCAAATTGGTTAGGATTGCCTCAATTTTGTATACTTTAAGATTATCGCTAATTTATATTTTGAATAGTTAGGAACACTTCCGTATAATTAGGAAACTCTTACTAATGTTGAAATAGGTGTTTGCAAGAATTTCAATACATATTTCTGTATATTCATTTGGTTCATGGAATGTCAATGTTTTTATAAATTTTTGTAAAATAGGAACTTTTTAGTTTTCGTAGTATGTTTGTTTATGTTTGTATTTTTCTCGCGTACGTATCTTTCTCATCTTATTTTGCGATCGTTTCCGATTCGTAGTCTGTAAGGTAGAATATGTTTAGCGTATGAAAATAAATTTGGGTAGAAGAACTTACCTACGTTTAACCACTATCCACAGTTCAAAGGCCATACCAACTCCATTTACTTTCCACCTATAACTAATAAAACAAGAGTTACTGATTTAGTTGTTACCGATTGAATAATTATCATATACGATTGCGTTACTCTATTCCAACTGAAAAATGTTTATTATTAACTTTTTAAACCAAATAAGAAAATAAAACTAAGTAACAATAAAAACGCAACTAGGTAATAAATGGATTTGAATAAAGTAAAATATTTATTTTTGTACATGTTCCAGTATATTAATGTTATTGGGTTCTTGCATTAATAGGTTTATACATTTAATATATATAGTGATATTTAAGCACTAATCAGGTGTCAATATCGGTAATTGTAGCACCAAATACTCAATTTGCATCGATTCCTACCAAAACATATATATATTTATTTGTGGTCGCTTTTCATAAACATCAGAATAGTGAGTCAAAATTTTACGACGAAAGACTAAGAACATAAAGGGAAAGTACCATGTACTGCTTTGCTGACACTTAAAGTGTCCTTAAAAACTTACTTGGGATGTCACATTCTTCTGCACATAATTTAAAAAATTCCTCATACGAGGTGTGTTGTCTTTTCTGATTCTATTTATGTAGTTTAAACACCCAGGTATACATGATTATACATACAGATGTATATAATATTGTGAGTTCAATTTTTGTATTTATATTTATATATATATCAAAAATAGATATATGTATTTATTAACTATATTTTTATTTTAAATTTGCGAGGCGTTAAAATTATATTCCTAATAATAAGTTTCCTATATTTTTTAGATAGGATGTACCTGCCCTCAAAATTATATGAATATTCTGGATAACATCAATTCGGATCGGGACAGAAAATAAACACAATAAAACTTGTTTGATTAAAAATAAATTGACAAATCTAATTTATACAAGAAATAAAAATCAAGCTGTACTGGTCAAATTAAATCTGATCAACAGATTACATCAAAAAATAATTTTTAACCTCCCGAAACTCTTACCGGTGATATGGTTTCGGTTAAATAGCTGCTGCATAAGTTCCTGATTACCAGTGATCTTTCGCACATCTTCAGATACGACATCGGCAGGCAAATTATGCTGAGTATGACTCTTCGAATCACCAATAGTTGTATCATAGTTAAGCATGCAGTTGCCTTCAGGAAGAGTGTCTGAATCTTGTCCAGAACCCGGTGTAAGATTAGAGTTGTTTGTCGCACTTGTAACAACGTGTTGGAACAGAAAGGCCTTTGATAAGTTGTAAAACCTCTTTTCCCTGTCGGAATCGTTGTCGTCACTGCCGCTGCCATTGCTCTGGGCATAAAGCTCGGTGGTTTGTTCGAGTAGCTTCTTCATCTTGCAGATATGCTCTACGCTAAAAGCGTGCTTTTGGATGTTGACTTGGGTGACTTGGCACAGCTGGCAGTCCTGTAGATTCGATTCGTGATCCTGTTCCACGGATCCGCCATTAGCTTTTAGGTCGCTGACCACTTCCTTGCCACTAGAGCCATCATAGCTGTTATCGTCAGATATGTGTGCATAGTGTCGCTGATTACGGGATTTTTTGTCTTTGGCCCGAGAATTTTGAAACCAGACCTAAACGAAGAAGGAATGAAAGTAAAATATGCATTGTTATGAGTGCTGTTTCTTCTAAGGTGATGTTTTTTTTAGAATGCTTTACCTTTAAAGTTTTGTTTCGCTTGACTTAAAAATAAAGCAGTCTGTTACCCCATAAATGTTTTCGGCTACATGTTTAAGATTTGTATATTCACTAAAAAATAAAGTAAAAACGATAAAAATTAATAATCAGAAAATTATAAAACGATAATTACTAAGTTAAACACTTAAGATATAAATATTAACAAATTAATTAGGATTAATAAAGTTCAATGGTTTAATTGGTATATACAGGTGTGCTTTGATTACTTCGCACCTATCGGTTCTCACAACTTTCGGATTTCAACCTTTTTTAAAATATAAAATTAAAAAATTAAATATATGAAATCAATATATAGTCGGCTGCCCCGACTATCAGATACCCATTACTCAGCTAAAGCGAGTGCGAGGGAGAGGGAGATATAAAACTTTGCTCGGGCATAGATTTTTAACGAATGGTCCGATTTGAAAAATTTCTTCTACGTTTCGATAGGTATAAATAAACGCAACCAAATTGCGTATATACTTCTCCGAAATCTTTAAAAATGTAGGCGCTAGACACATTTTAAAATCGTTTGTGGGCAATTGTGGGCGTTAGAGGGGGCGTGGCGCTCGGCTGAAATAAACTTGCGCTGCGTAGGAAGCCCAAGAATATGTGTGGGTAATCCCAATTTTCTATCTTTTGTAGTTTGCGAGATCTCAGCGTTCATACAGACAGACAGAAACACAGACGAACATTTCGACTCGGCTAGTGACCCTGCTCAAGAGTATATATACTTTATAGGGTTGGGAACGCTTCCTTCTCCCTGTTACATACTTTACTTACGTACACGAATAAAAAAATTCTTTTCCTCTATGAGTAACGGGTATAATAGAAGGCATATCCCAGAGTAGAAAAGAGGGCAATAAAAACCTACCTCTATTTATTTTTATTCCCTTGCAGAGGGTATTATTTTTCGTTTTAGTTTCCGACCACATAAATTATATATATTCTTGATCAGCATTAAAGCCGAGTCCATCTCGCCATGACCGTCTGTCTGTCCGTCCGTTTCTATGGGAACTAGTCTTTCAGTTTTAAAGCTATCGGGATGAAACTTTCCCAAACGTCTTTTTTCTATTGCAGCTAGTACATATCTCGGACCGAGACGGATCGGACCACTATATCTTATGGCTCCCATAGGAATAATCAAAAAAATAATAAAATAAAAATTGTAGAAAGTAGGCGTTTTGATTTTTGACATTGTAGAATCAACATTTTAAGTAGGCAAACCTGCAAGGGTATATAAACTTCGGCTAGCCGAAGTTAACATTCTTGCTTGTTTTTTATTTCGTTGGCAGCTATATGATATAGTCATCCGATTTTAATAAAATGAAATTCAGAAGTATTAAAAAAATGTTATTCTCTAGTTCCGACTTATATACTACCTGAAATAGAAAGAAGACTTTTGGGAAAGTTTCATCCCGAAAGGACGGACGGATATGGACGGACTCAGCTAATGGGATTATATTGGGTGGGAAACGTTTCCTTATAGCTGTAACATACTTTATACCGAATACAACATACCCTTTTCCTCTAGCATTTCATATTATCCCCAGTTTTTAAGACTTATAATATATTATACATACTTATATATTTGGTACTTACTTGCACTACTCGTTTCTTCAGATTAACTTTTTTAGATATCTCTTCAAGCATTTTTCGGCTTGGATTTGATTCGGATTGATAACATTCGTACAAAAAGTTCAGTTGCTCCGGAAGAATGGTTGTACGTAGGCGTTTGTTTTGCTTGGATGAAACATTAACCGGAGACACAGACGACCGTTTTTCCATCTCGTTGGCTTTGTGCGTTGATTCGTCTTTTTGGCAAGTTTTCTCGTCATCATTAAAAGTCAAGGTCTGGGAATTGTTTTCTATCATGGTGGCATCCAAGAAGTCCTCCAGATTGTGTAGGTACTGGGACTTTTCCTTGTCATCTTTTTGTAAGCATCTCGTGGCTAAATATTTGCTATCATCATTACCTGCAATTAATGTGGGCGCCACTGACAACTCCTCAGGTATTTCAACAGATTGACTACCGTTCGTGTCGGTTGTATCGGTTTGAGTCGTGTTGATGCTAATGTTGTTGTTATTAAGCTTTTCCACTTCGTTCTGGTTTTTAGACAAATCATTTTCCTCACATGGCTTATCGATGCTAAATCGTTCTTCTTGTTCCTCTTTTTGTAGTTCTGTTGCCTGCTCCAATGATCTTTCGCCGATAGCATTACTGACGTCATCTGTCGTGATTTTTGGCATCTGCGACGACGGGTTGTAGCCTGGGCCATCAGGCATTATTTGGGGCGAGGCAACTAACTGAAAAAACTTCTTTGACTCGTTCAGTTGATAGTACTGCAATAGAAACTCTATGGTTGGCTTTTTACTGGAGCTAAAGAGATGCGGTTGCTTGCATTTTGTCTTCAAGACTGCCTCCTCCTGTGTGCGATAGTACTGCAGTAGGAAGTCATAGTTACTGACCTTCTTTAACTCGCTCTGCTGATAAAAGTTAGTCAAGAACTCCAGCTCAAAGTCAGATTCATTTCCTTGGTCTGGCGTTTGAAGCTGCAGTGCTTTCTTATGTTGTTGTTGCATGAGGAACTGCTGCTTTAGTTCCGGGTTCGTTTCATTTTGCATAAAATATTTATACAGGAACTCGTGCTTCTTATGTAAAGCCTCGGGCTCCGATAAAATCGGCATATCATCTGGATTTGAAGAGCTGTCCGAGTATTTTCGTTTTTTTGCTGCTGGTGGTTGATGTTGTGGCTGTTGCTGTTGCTGTTGAGCCGCTGCTTGTTGAAGACTTTGCAATATGCTGCCGAACGGACCGAAGTTGGCGTCAGGATTGGAGTTCTGTCCAGCGTCAGAAAAAATGTTGGTTGGATTCATCAGGTGCAATAGTTGATGTTCTCGCAGTTTGTCCAAGTGGTTAAACTGCAGCTCGCATTTATCACAGTCAAACTTGGGAGCTCGCTGTGGGTGGTCCAAACTGTTGCTGCGTTCTCGTTGGGGTGGCGTTGGTGTCGTGGATGGGCTGAAGTCAGTGAGAGAAGAAGACTTTGCGAATAAATGCTGTGGCGAGGGCAAAGCGCCAAAAGATTGCTGTCCGAACTGTCCCGGCAAAGGAGCTGCAGAACCAACTGTTGACAAAGACTGCCCAACTACGGCTGAGCCTGGTGGACAAATGCCGACATGGTGTATATCCATCGAGGAGTTTGAGTCCTCCGAGCTCAGGTTTTGCGCAATTTGAGCAGCAGCGATTTGTGCCTTGGCCGACTTCTTGTTATTCTCCTCTTTGAAGCAGTGATTTTTCTGGTGACGGATTAGCTCGTAGTACCGCTGGAAAACCAAGCTACACTTTTTGCACGCATAGTTAATGTTTTGTTTCTTGGTCTCTTCATTTTCAAACAGGGAGTTGTTCGGTTGGTTCTCGTAAATCTTGCGTTGCTTTTGTCTGGCGTTTTGAAACCAAACAACGATGACTCGTGGAGATAATAACAAAAGCTTACTTAAATACTCGAGATCGCTGTCTTTGGGGTACGAATTGTTCTCGAAAAACTCCTGTAATACCTTGATTTGATAGTCTGTGAAGCGTGTTCGGTTCGCTCGCTTGCCGCCCGATGTCGATGATGAGGAGCTTGAGGAGTTCGAAGAGTTACTTTCGAACTGGGTGCTAGCGCTGGTCGAGCTCGAGATTGGCGTTGAGTTCTTGTCGAATGTTTTTCCAACAATCTGTAGTTTTTTTGGTGGCCCCATGTTGCTGCCCATGTTTTCCAGCTGTTGGTTTATCAAATCGTTCATACTGCCGTAAAGATTTCCTGCAGCTCCACTGTTTGGAGTGGGTGGGCGAGACATAACGTCCGAGCTACCACTCTCCGATTTAGTTTCAAAAATATTAGTTTGCTGTTGGCTTTGACAGTGGGCCGCAAGCGAAGAACCGGCAAGTAAGGATTGGTCCTGCGTCATATCCGACTCCTGATTTGTCATGGACTGTTCTTGGGGATCCACAAGTTCCTGTTGATGCTTCAAGAAGTTGAAGTTTGAGTGCTGCTTGGTTTGAAATGCGAAGTCATTTGAGCCAATCATATCATCCTGGGGCTCTGACTTTATGTGTCCCTCCACAGGATACGGCAAACCTTGGTCCTTGCCCGCGTGCTGTCCAAAAAACAAGCTATTGTTCAAATAGTCGGATATATTACCGCTCGAGTTCGTTGATTCTGGGCGAGAGACAGATGTTGAGACTGGAACGGTAACAGGAAATAAAACAGGCGCTGCTGCTATTGATTTTCCAACCGTTGTTACTCTTGTACTTCCGCTTTCTTTAGAGTTCGTATTTGGATTAGCAGATGGTGCCGATGAAATCGTTGATGTGCTCAATGGCGCTGATACTGATACGCTACTTGTATCATTCAAGGGTGTAACCTTGGTCTGACCTGTACGTTCATATTCCTCCAAATTAAGAGTTGTCGACGGTGGATTGTTGAAGTTATAAGGAGAGTCCTTATTGCGTTGTCTTTCCTTAAATAGCGTGTTTCGGAACCAGTGTTTCACCACCTGCAACCAAAAAAGGTATGTAACACTGCTTTAATTGAAGCCTTTGCTGCTTACCTTCATTGGGAGATTTGCTTTCTGTGACATTTCCATAATGCTCTCTTCGCTTGGGGAGTTATTTATGTCGAAATGTGCCCGCAAAATCTTTAGCTGATCATCCGTGATTCGCGTTCGGGCTCGTTTTTGGTTGCTGCCCAGCTGTTGAGACTAAAATAATAAGAATAAGGACAATATGACATTTAAACTTTTTATCAGTATCAAAATAGAGTTCGAGATAATGAGTAATAAAGATCTGTCGCAGATAGCTTGTAGTTTTGTAAGCATAACTAAGATCTCATAAGTAAAGAAAAATAAGTAATAAACATAATGAGTGAATCGTTTCTGACGAACTGTCGGCCTGATTTTGAATGCCATTCCTGAAATGTTTTAGTAGGTAGAAGGTATGCAAAAAATAAGGAATATTTATAGGTACATAGGCTGGAGGTATAACGGTTAAGAATTTTCTGAGAAAATACTTATGAACTATCCCAAGTTAATGCTAAAAGCTAAGAAGCTAGTGCATTGAAATGTACGGACAAGTCTAGGTAAATGAAGTCTCTGTCCAAACTGACTTAGTCCTAACACGGTACCTGAGGGTTTGAGTTGACATTGTGCTGAGGCTGAGCTGAAATTATAGCTTTAGCAGAGTCAACCGCCATGGCGTTAGCTCCGGTGGTGAGCTGAACATCAGCTAGTCCTGAAGCAGCCGACACGGTGGAGGAGGTAATGCTGTTATGCTGGGCTGTTGACGCGGGAAGGGCATTGCTACCGGCGGCGCCAGCGCCGAACACCAAGGGGGGAGCCAGATTCATGAAGTTCAGGGACATCAGGTGGTGAAACTGCATTAGATTAAGCATGTCTACCGGATTAATCGGTAGTCCGGATGCGGCAGCTACGGCACCAAACTGCTGTTGCATATGCTGAAGGCTTTGCAGGTTTTGGAGACCCTGGAAGAAGTACTTGTTAGTGGCGTGGCCTTTTCGGGGGAAAGCCCTCAATGGAATGGCACTACCTGCAAGTGCTGGGATAATTCTCCAGCGGACAGCGACAAGCCTTCGGGGTGGAGGCCAACAGCTTCTGAGTTACCCTGCTGCTGCTTGAGCAGAGCTGCGAAAGTGGCTAGGTATTGCTGCTGGGCCTGGGAGTCCGCAGACATTGGGCTGGGCGACAAGTGCCTGGATTCCTTGCTTAGTTGCGCCTCTAGCCGAAGCGGCGACACATCGTTCCCTGGGACCTCTGAAACAAGTAAGCCGACGTTAATTACTTTGAGTTCTAGGTTTGTTATAAGAATGTTATTACCTCTCTCTAGCGCATGTGTCTCACGTGGAGAATGCTTGTGTGCCTCCTCGGCATTCAAAGTCGGCGTCTGCGGACTGTTTGACCTGGCTAGTGGAGTTCCCTCTTCAGAGTGCGCCTGCTCCATGTGCTTCTGGAGCGCCTGGGTGCTGCGAAAGTTGCGTTGGCAAAGAGAGCACTTCGTAGCATCCCGCATTGAGTGGTAGAGCATGTGCGTCGTGAGCTTTTCCTGAGTCTTGAAGGCCAGCGAGCACTGTTTGCAGCGATACTTGTAGACATGGCGCTCTGAGATAACTAGGCTCATGTGCGAGTCCTGGAAGTGGCTGATCATGGCTGAAATGGTTCTGAAGCCCATGTAGCAGGGTCGGCTGATGTGGCTGGCTGCCAGACACAAGTACTCTCCGTTTTGTGACGAGAAGTGCTGGTTCTGCTGCGCATGCTGGAGCAGCTGTTCCTCGTGCTTGAAGCTGGCCTCGCACTGCTGGCAGGAGAGTCCCTGCATTCCCACTGGGAGGCTTGAGCTAGATGCGGTGGTGCACTTGGTTGCGTTGGCACTGGAGGGGCTTTCACTAGGTGTTGCCGGCGCCTCCTCCTTGTTGGTATTCGATTGGGGGGGTAGGCTTGCAGTGTCGGTGCCCTCACCTTCGGTTTTCCAGGCTTTCTGGTCCACTAGAAGCAAGAGCCGGGAAAGACCATCTCTGGTAACGCTGTGGACGCTTGTCAGATGGGCCTCCAGGTGATGTTTCTCCCGGAAATGATTTTCCAGGCACAATGGGCACTGGACCCCGACTTGTGATTCCGGACGTTTCGGCGACTCCGGAGGGGCAGAAGACGTCGCCTGAGATGGAACGTCTTTGGTATCTTCTATAACTGCCATGGCCTCATCATCCTCCTCAAGCCGCTCCCGTTTGATAGCCACTGGGCCGTCGTTGGCATTGTCGTCGGCATTGGCATTGGCATTGGCGTCCATGTCCTTCTCTGCTTCGCCGGCATCCTGCGCCGGAGCATTAATAGCGGCGCATCGCTGTTGCACCGCAGCCAGAGCAGCTGCGGCCACAGCTGTTTGGAAAGCCTGCAGAGCGGCTGTGTTGGTTGGTATACTTATAAAGTCATCACTCTCAGCACACGGGTGCTCGGTCTCAATGTGGGACGCAATGTCGCCCTTCGATTGAACAAAGTATTCGCAGAGATTGCACTTGAATACTGTGGTAGGAACAGGGGCGCCCGAGCCAAAGTTATTCAGGCCAGGAGATGCCATGTGGCCCACAGGCTTGCCGCATGGTGTCGCGCAACTGGAGGGAGAAGTCGGTGAAAATATACTGACGTCAGGGAGTGCAGGGACTCCAGACGCAGATAATGCCGTAGCATAACTGGCATCCGGGGTGGCTTCGTTGGTTCCAGTCCTTGACAAGTTAAAGCCAGTCTCGAAAGTAATATCTGAAATACAAAATCCATAATATGATTTCACAAGTGTCGCCACCAATGCATTTATCGCGTAGGACCCTACATAATAGACATATTCTTGATCAGCATCAACAGATAAGTCAATTTAGCCATTACCCTTTTAGTTTTAAAGATTTGTACAGCTGCGACCATGAAAATAGTAGTGCACTTACGTTACTTCTTAAAAGTTTCACTGTGGATATATTTCTAGACCGATTTCGGATTCTTTTGTTAGCTAAGACTACATAGAGTAGAATTCAGCCGAAACCCGATTTTGGTTTATACCCATTTTTTAAAGTTATGTCACAATTCGGCCGCTCATGTAAATATAGTAAGTGAAAATAATGTAAAACAAGAAAGGAAGCTATATATATATATATACCCTTGCAGATCATTCTATTTATTTATAAATCGCGAAAATGCTAAATTTCCTATTATTTCACATTAATTTTTCGATCGTTTCTATGGCAGCTGTATGTTATTTTACATTAATTTTTCGATCGTTTCTATGGCAGCTATATGTTATAGTAGATCGATTTTTTTTTAATTTTAAATCGTAATTCGGAAATATTTAAAAATAGTCATATCACAGAGTAGAAGAGAATGTAATAAAAATCAACAAAGATATAATTTTTTTCCTATTAATTTCCATTTAATTTTTCGGCCGTTCCTACCGCTGCTATATGATACAGTGATCCGATTTTTTAAATATTTAATTCGAAATTCAGAAATATATAAAAAATAATATTCCCAAGAGTAGAAGGTATTATTTGAAAAAAACACCGAAGCTAGAATTTTTTTAACGTTACCTTCCTATGGGAGCTATTAGATATAGTTGTCCGATCCGGTCGGTTCCGATATATATACTACCTGCTATAGAAAGAAGACTTTTGAGAAAGTTTCATTCCGATAGCTCAAAAACTGAGAGCCTAGTTTGCGTAGAAACAGACGGACAGAAGGACCGACGGACAGACGGACGGACAGACGGACATGGCTAGATCGACTCGTCTTGTGATGCTGATCAAGAATATATATACTTTATGGAGTCGGAAACGTTTCCTTCACTGCGTTGCAAACTTCTGACTGAAATCATAATACCCTCTTCAAGGGTATAAAAAGCAGGAAAAAGCGGCTAAAATTGTCATTTTTAGCTATTTTAAAAAAATCATAAAAAATACAAGGAAAAATATTTTCAAATTTTTTTTGCATTTATTATTAATTTTGATTGGGAAAAAACTTTGCATCAAAACATTTTTGTTTTAAGCCCCAGGAAAAAAGTTTAAAATTTGACCTTCACAATAAATTGTCTAATTTTCTATCTTTACAAGGAGTACTTAATGGGTTAAGAACATTGTTATGTCATTTAAAAAGTGCTCTTTCTATAGGTGCCAAAATGTTTCTATTATAAGTTCAAAATATAAGTAGATTTAACTTAAAAATCTGTCAAAATAATTATGCCGAACAGTGTAAGTGCAGGTAGAATTTGTCAGAATCACTAACCAAATGATTTTACATAGTTTTAATACTCTTGCAGAGGGTATTATAATTTTGGTCAGAAGTTTGTAACGCAGTGAAGGAGACGTTTCCGACCCCATAAAGTGTACATATTCTTGATCAGGATCGATAGGGGAGTCGATATAGCCATTTCCGTCTGTTTCAATACCGTTTGCGAGCTCAGTTTAAAAGCTAGCGACTTAAAACTTACTGATTCATACTAAAACATGTGTACGCAGATCAAGTTTGAAAATCGACCCGATCGGACGTCTATATCCTATAGCTCCCATAGGAAAATAGTATATAACTTGCAAAAACTGAAGATTTTTCGCGTAGTGTAAAAGTTATTGACATGAATCTTTCCAAATCGTATTTTTATACCCTTGCAGAGGGTATTATGATTTCAGTCATAATTACGTTTCCGTATATATATTCTTGATCAGCATCACAAGACGAGTCGATCTAGCCATGTCCGTCTGTCCGTCCGTCTGTCCGTCTGTCTGTTTCTACGCAAACTAGTCTCTCAGTTTTTGAGCTATCGGGACGAAACTTTCGCAAAAGTCTTCTTTCTATTGCAGGTAGTATATATGTCGGAACCGACCGGATCGGACAACATTTTTGCGATTTGTTAATTAATAGGAATGATCTGCAAGGGTATATAAGCTTCGGCTGGCCGAAGCTAGCTTCCTTTCTTGTTTTTGCATACCTTCAATAGAGTAAAAGCGCGTTAAGGGTTATTGAGCAGCACAAGTTTGTTTCAGCAGAGCTCCACGCTTTCTATAAGGCTCACAACAATAAAATCTGTCTATCGGCTACATTTTCAATTGATTGTGTATCCGATTTTCTTTTTTACCAATACTAATCTATTCATCCAAAATATGACGTATTACTTAGCGATGTCCTCTTTCCTCGGACATCCATCCTTTAGTTTTATTGAAAAGATTGGTGTTTTTGGTCATATTCGGGGGTGTACACACAAAAAAAAAATTGTCAAAAAGGCCCCAACCACGAAAAATTGTCAATTTTGTCAAGGATATAGGTGTGTGTCTTTGCTAATTGTGTATTGAGTACTTTATGTGGTTGGGGACTGATTGACAATTATAACAGTTGATTTTACCAAGTTTATTTTTTGTGTGTAACAGAAATATTTTCCAACCAAAATCGTTTATGCTTTTTGTGTACATCAATACGCAATTCCAACCGTCTTTTGTTGGAATATATTTCTGTGGCACCCTTGATGGCTTCGGAAAGCCGAAGTTTTAATACCCTTGTAGATTTAAACAGCTAAAATGTGAATCGATTTCGTCGAAAACTATGTAACAGGTAGAAGACCCTAAAAAGTATAGGATAAGGATTAATAGTCGAGTCGATCTAACCATCTAACTGAGATCTCGGAAACTGTAAACTGTAAACAGCTGTAAACTGTACAGATTCTCGAGGTTTCTGGGCAGCGAAAGTTGTTTTCACGGAGCCAAGAACCACAAATGATTTGGCACCCACACATTCAACAATTTTTTTGCAGTGTAAATTGTGTTTTATTCAATTTGTTAATAAAATAAATAAATCGTTAAAAAATTATGTTCTGATTTTATTTTTACTAAATAATTATTTTATATGTATGTATAGGAGTAGAGAAATAGTAGAAGAAGAAATTAAGAGTTCCGTTCTTTGGCAAATATTTGTCTGAAGTCATAATGTCTTTGCATTATAACCCAATTTCACAATAAATTGCTAAATCGACTCGACTAGTGATCCTGGTTAAGAACATATTTCCTTTATAAAGCAAAGTAGTTTAAAAATCCTCACTCGGGAGAGAAACGAAGGGAATTTGGCATTCGATAGAATTGGCCCTAATCGAGTGATAAGTGGTGACCAGGGGTGGGAAATATCAGTCGGCGATCGCAGAGGGAACAGCTTTTCAAATCCGCAGGCACAAGACTCTTTAGTCGGCACATCCGAAGGGAGCAGGCACAGACGGCTGAAATCGTTCGGTCCTCATTGTCTACACTCGCAAGTATTTCATTTTGCATATAGACCCGAGACACCCTACATTGGTGTAGAGCAGCTTGTGCAATTATCAACATCTGGAAAGGAGTGGGCGCAGATTCGGTTGATGGTGGCAAGGGCAGGGGCAGGGGCAAGGGCGAGGAAAGAGCAGGGAAGGGCAAGGGCGAATCTGACCTGGCTTCAAATTGATGCGGTGCGGGGTGCTGCTATGTGTGCTGCCATATATCCGTATTGCCGTAAGAAGTGGCGGTGGAGCGGCGACTGTTTGTTGTGTCTCTGCGAGGTTCGGTCTTACTGTTCGGGGTTCGGGGTTCGGCGATCGGTGTTCTGTGGTTAGGTGCTATGCCTGCGGTTCGGCCCTGCACGACGCCGCGCATCTGATATGGGAATCTCACACTGCGGAGTGGAGTGAATTTGTTTGGCCTTTTGGATTGTGGGCATCGCATACCCATACAGGCAAAGAAAGACTAGCCTGAGCCTGCGCCTGAGCCTGAGCTGCAGACTGAACCTGGGACTGAGACTGAGACTGGTGTGGAGCAAAGTGTGCACGTCACTAATTGCAAATTCGATGGATACACATAATCGTTTTTGCATTCTTAAGTAATTTGTAATAATTTCCTTAAGGGTCAGCGTCAGCGTATAAATCTCAGAGCGCATATAAGTCGCTAAAGGAAAAGAGAGGGCGAAGACGAGAGCAAAGGCAAAGAAGAATTTACGTAAACGCGACGATGATTCCGAACGTGAGGATGGGTACGAGGACGAGGACGAGGCCAAGGCAAAGACGAAGACGAAGACGATAATAATCGAAGAGCGAGGCAGAAGAAATTGAACTGAAATCAGCGCTTAATGATGAGTTACGAACGAACGAACCGTATTATACAATGCAATATGGTTATGGATTGTGGCAGGGGAAATTTTTGAAAATCATGAGCAGCGTTTGTATTTATGTATGCATGCTATGGATTTAAACGAATACGTATGTATGTAGCCAGGCCTTGTGCATTCAATATGCAAGCATATGTAAATATGTATGACTATATGTACAAGCATACTCCTCTTTTAATTGATTATAATCTCCTTCGGTTTTGAAAGGTCAAATACCGAGGATGACACGGAAATTACATTGCGGTGAATTCAGAAGAAATTTCTATTATTGTAGGTGAGTAAAAGTATGTATATATATTCTTGATTAGCATCACTAGACGAGTCGGTCTAGTCCTGTTCGTCTGTCCGTCCGTCTGTCCGGCCGTCTGTCCGTCCGTCTGTCCGTCCGTCTGTCCGTCCGTCTGTCCGTCCGTCTGTCCGTCTGTTTCTACGCAAACTAGTCTCTCAGTTCTAAACTTTCGGGCTAAAACTTTCCCAAAAGTCTTCTTTTTTTTGCAGGTACTACATATGTCGGAACGAGCCGGATCGGACAACTATATCATATAGCTCCCGCAGGAATAACCGGGGGAAAAATGTAAAAAAATTATATTTGAAATGTTTTGACATATTTATACCTATATTTATGAGGACTTGAAAATCAGGATCTGCTGAAATGACATGCAAGGTGGAGTTACCGTGTCAGGTCCTCAGCTCTATGTTTTCAACCTCATTATGTTATACATTATTGATTAATGTTAAATAAAACAAGAGAGCACGCTATAGTCGTGTTCGTGTCCCGACTATCTAATACCCGTCACTCGGCTAAAGGGAGTGCGAGGGAGATGGATATAATGCGTATAACTTTTTAATGAATAGACCGATTTGAAAAATGTCTTCTACATTTCGATAGGTATAAATATACACAATGAAAATGCATTTATACTTCTCGGAAATCTTTAAAGGTGTGACCGATTAGTGACCGATTGTGGGCGTAAGAGAAGGCGTGGCGCTCGGCTGAAATAAACTTGCTCTGCGTAGGAATCCGAAGAATATGTGTGGAAAATCTTAACCTTCTAGCTTTTGTAGTTTCCTAGATCTCAGCGTTCATACAGACAGACAGACTTTCAGATATGAAACTTTGATCGGGCATAACTTTTTAACGAATGGTCCGATTTGAAAAATTTCGATAGGTATTGATAAACACAATAAAACTGCAGTTTTACTTTTCCGAAATCTTTAAAAATGTTGGCGCCAGACACATTTAAAAATCGTTTGTGGGCGATTGTGTGCGTTAGAGGGGGCGCGGCGCTCGGCTGAAATAAACTTGCGCTGCGTCAGGAAGTCCAAGAATATGTGTGGGTAATCCCAACATTCTAGCTTTTTGACTTATTTTTCTGACTAAAAATTGGATATATAGATAATTTTACTTATTTATGTACCAGAGTCCTTCTGATTTGTCTAGATTTTTTCGTTTCTCTATTTTTGTATTTTACTAAGGTTCACTAATTAGAAGAAGAAGTAAAAATGCTAAGGTGTGCTAAACTCGTGACCAGCTCATTTTGGAGGTTGATCCACTAAAAGTATTGCCATAGAATGGGAGGATATTAACAGTGGAAGTTGTTTTATTTATAGCAAAAAAGTGTGTGAAAACAGAAATTTTAAATCTCTAACGGGAGAGAAAATATAGGGAAAATATTATGGGTGTGCTAAACTAGTATGTTTTTGTTTATATGTAGCTCTTAGCGTGGTGGAATATCGTTTTAAAAAATGTTTAATATGGATAAAGTCGATCTAGTTATGTCCGTCCTTATGAGCGCTCAGATCTCGGAAAATTTAAAAACTAGGACACGCATGCATATTATAAGGTTTCCTGCGCATAACTATTACAGTTTTGATGCTAAAATAAAATGTATCCTTGCAATTGATGGTTTTGTAAAAAGGGGAAGGGAAATTTGGTTTTCAAAAACAATTTTGTAGGTTAATCGATAAGTCTTGACGAAAAAAATACATCTAAGACAACATGTTCATTCTAGAATAAATACTGTGGGTGCCTCAGTTTTGTACGGTTTGTGGCTCATTGATATAACAAACTTGCGCTTAATCAGAATCTAAGGATTCTGCATGTGCAGACGGACAGAGAAATGGACGCACACAAAAGTACCAGAACCTATAATTTGTTTCCTAAGTCATGACCATATTATTTTCGTTCGTGTCAGAATGCTTTTCTAAATTTAGACATTCATTTCCATTTTTAAAATGAAAAAAAAACATTTTGTTGAAAAAAAAAACGAGTTGAAACATATTCATATATATTCGTTACACTACTTGATATTCGATTTTTTGATGCAGGTGCGATCGTCACGAAGCGTTTTCTTCAATAAGAGGATATTTGGAAGCCGGAGCTCCAAGATGTAATATAAATAAAGCATAGATCCCGGTCAAAAGGTATTGTTGTTGCTCTTCAAAATGTGTTCTTTTGTAAATGGTGTCAGTAAAAGGTGTAGGAACATACCTTCGTTGTCCACGATCCACTCAGTCACTCTGAACACGTCGCTCAGTGCGGGTATTTCCTGGTTTTCACTACGACGCTGCAAGCAAATAAATTGCTCGACCTGCATGTGCCTCATGCCCTTCACATGCTGAACCATTTCATGCAGGTTTTTGGCCGTGAAATTGCACAGCTGGCAGAGGAGCAGTTTCCTGGCGGACTGCGATTGCGATTGCGACTGCTGATCCTCCTCCGGACAGGAGCATTGGGGATCATCTTCCGACGCACCCGGGGACTTCTTGAGCATTTGGCTCTGCTGAACAATATACAGTAGGTGCTGGAATATCATTCGCATCGTGTCGTGACGCATCTGCTGTGTGTGCAGGGACAGCTTCTGAATAGAATTGGTGTGGAAGTCGCAGCAGTTGCACTTCACTTGCACCACATTGGCGGCCAGCTGCTGTTGATACTGCATCTTGTACTCATTACGGGGGCCGCCCTCCCTGATGTGGTTGATAAAGTTGAGCTTCTGCAAGTGCTTGTCCGTCTTGCTGTGCAGTTGGAAATTGGCCTTGAGATTCGTCTTGTAATTGCACAGCCGGCATATATAGTTGTTATTGTGGATAACCATTATTTCGGAAGAGGCGCTGGAGGATTGCCGAGATCGGTCCACGAGCAAATGTTGGTTAAGATCGTCCAGGTTGTTCGTACTGAAGCAGTCGCAGATTAGACAGCTGAAGAACGCCGTGGGCCACTTGTCGGTTTTCGTCAGCGGATGAGGATCGCCAGCCAGGTCGCCGGGCACTTCGTTCGAGTGGCTCATTCCCATCGGCATCCCCAGGCCCATGCCCATTCCTGCCAGTCCTCCGTGGCCAATCTTCATTGGCTTGGGGGAGAAGGAGAACTGATCCGGAGTGCTCACGGGCGAAGACGAGGGAGATAATTTGGTATTAGCCGACTGCTGATGTTGCTGCTGCTGCTGTTGCTGTTGGTGTAGCAGCTGGATCATGAGCGCCTGGTTATAGGCGAGATCGGCCAGCGCAACCTCGGGCATAAAGCTCCCGGAGCTGTGTCCTGGAACACTGCCAGCGGCTCCTTGCTGCTGTTGCTGCAGGAAGTTGAACGCCTGGATGTGCTTGATGTTGTTCTGCAGCACAGCCATGTTGTGTGTGTGCTTCTCACTGGTCATGTGGATGCGCAGATTGCGAGCCACGGAGGTCTCGTAGCTGCAGATGTCGCACCGAAACGAGGGCTTTGGCTTGGCGCTGTTGCTTCCGGCATTGCTTCCGGCATTGGCATTGGAGTTACTTGCTCCCGTTCCCGCACCGGCGATCGGTGCGTTTCCACCCAGTGCTGCGGTGCCGCCGACATTGTTGGGTCCGCCGCAGCCAGAGGAGCCAGAGGAGCCGGTGGCACCGCTGGATCCGCTGCCGGACGTGCCCGCACCAGATCCTTGGGGTGACGTGCTCGATAGCAGCAGTTTGCTTGTCGCTGCTGCAGCAGCCGCGGCCGCCACCATGTTTTGGGAGCTGTTCAGCTCCTGCATGTTGTTCAGATGCTTGTCCGATTGCATGTGGATGGAGAGATTGCCCTTGGTGGTCGTGGAGTAGTTGCAGATTTCACAGCGGTACGGCTTATAACCGCAGGAGTAGGATTCCCCCCGTGCCAGCCGAGGATGCTGTTGTCCTGTGACGCAAGAGAACATGGGATTAAATAAAATTGTTAGCTGCTTCAAAAGTACATTAAATTTATAATGAATTAATTAAATAAATTAAAATTATAATCGACAGAAATTAAAAACAAATCGCTCGTTCATAAACGTTTAATTCGATGTAAGGGAAGTGCGTTGTATGTAGGTTGGAGTACATTTATATTTTTTTCCTTCCATATAAAACGGCTTTTGTAAAGGCCTGTGCGTCGGGACACTTCTAGTTTAGTTAAATGATAATATTGACTTTTAACTAACTTTTAAAAAAAAAGTTTAGTGTTAAATCTGATGGTTTGCTGTTGAAGGTAAAATTTGATTCGTCTTTTAAGACAGTTTTAGTCAAAATAAAAATTACATTTGCAAAAAAGTAATTTTTGTAATATAAAATATTTTAGAAATTTAACTGTGCCAGTTATCAGACCGTCCAGCATATCTTGGGGATGATCTCTGCTCTATTGTTTCGATAGTATGATTTATATTGCACGATGTGTCTTGCACCGATGCTATGCCACAACAAATTTAAAGTCGTGTATCCTTTTAAGTTATTTGTAGTAAAATTAAAAACTATTTAGTTTCTACACTGCTTTCTACGGATTTAATGAACCAAGTACCTGCAAGGCAGTAACCACAGGCACTCTCTCCATCAGGATGCTTCTCCCTCATGTGGATCTCCAGTGTCTCCTGGTATTTATAGTGCCAATTGCATTGCGGACACTTGAGAGTCTTGCAGGAGTTGCGAGTAGACATTTGCACGCCGCTATTCAATCGAGCCGAGTTTAGAAGCATTTCACAGCTGTGGGAAATGAACAATATGCGTAATAATAGAATCGTTATTGGAGAAAACAATAAATTATAAAGAAGAATCGAGATCATGCGAAGATGGTTTGATTTAATTAGATTACCATTTTTACTTTTATTAGTTTTTAGCTGCGAGTTGTGGATTCAATTTGAACAACAACCGACTTTTGAACGTGGGGAAGGCACCTTAAACCATTTCCACATTCATTAGTGTGTCACCGGCACCTAACAAAGTGACGGCAAAATTTTAATGATACCGAACCCACAGTTGCTCGCCTCGACCCGGGCGACACCATTAAATTGTGACAATTGGGGACGGGACAGACGGCCAGAAACATTTATTAAGTGAAATCAGCGCAATTGGTTTAATTTTTGTTGGTTCAGCCGCCATCATATCTTACCCTCCTGCAATATTTAACGTGCCTCTCCCTACAGATCATAGCAACATAACAAAGATTTTCCAGCAATCTGTTAATTGAAATATACAGGCATATAATTTACATATGCATGAATGCATGGGATCGGACACGAAAAGTGGCATGGAACTTATTAATAATGACAGACTCCTCGAATAGATGCTCGGTTTTAAATTAAACACAATAACGTACCCTATTCACTAAAGCTCGCACTGATACAAAAGTGGAATAGTACAAATGAATATCTGCAAATTGAATAATAACAAAAACATAACATTTAATACGCAATCTATAAGGGGTTATATACCTTTTTGAGCGAAAAAAATTGGGGGAACTTTGGATTTTTTTCAGGTGTGTAGCAATTATTTTATGAAACTGAAGTTATTATTTATTGATAGTACATGTTTTTATCGAAACAACAAGCGTTTGATCTTGAAAATATATGAATAATTTACAAAGCTATGGCAATTCTCTCGGAACCCCTTTTTTTTTATAGCGGCTTGCGGTGACCACGATTGCACAAGAACTATTTGATCGATCTTCTTATTTTTTTTTTTAATTATTCGTAATGATTGTGCCGAGTTCGTGAACGATTATTTTCAAGAATATTTGCTTTTTTTTGCATACAGTAACAATTTTTCCAAAAAATTGATTTTTCGAGTACTAAAAATTTAATTAATAAATTTTTTTCTGCGAAATCAAAATTGACGCATAAAAACTGAATCGTTCACGAACTCGGCACAATCATTACGAATAATTTAAAAAAAATTGAAGAAGATCGATCAAATAGTTCTTGCGCAATCGTGGTCACAGCGAAGGCACTTTTGGAAAAACACGACTTTGAGATAATCGCATTCAAAGTTTTACGTTGACGTTGCAACTATTGAAGTCGAGCGCGGCAAAACGCTGTTTTCCTATCGAACTATTATTCGGATCTGTATGAAAATTTGGGAAGATGTTCTCTAGGGGATATACTTTAGGAATCAGCAAAAAAAAAAATTTCGTTTTTTTGAAAAAAAAAGGTATATAACCCCTTAAGCCTTCAGCTGCTATATCTCTATAGGTTTATAGTTATATCCGTTACTCGTAGAGTACAAGGGTTATTGTATTTCTGGCAAAAGTATGTAACAGCTATTTAGAGTCATTTCCGACCCTATGAAGTATATATATTCTTGATCAGGGTCACTAGCCGAGTCGATCTAGCCATGTCCGTCTGTCCGTATGTCTGTCCGTATGAACGCTGAGATCTCGGAAACTACAAAAGCTAGAAAGTTGGGATTACCCACATATATTCTTGGGCTTCCTACGCAGCGCAAGTTTATTTCAGCTGATGGCAACGCCCCCTTTAACGCCCCCTTTAACGCCCACAATCGCCTTAAAGATTTCGGAAAAGTAAAAATGCAGTTTTATTGTGTTTTCAATACGTGTTGTAGAAAAAAAATCGGACAATTCATTAAAAGGTTAGGCGCGATCAAAGCTTTATAGCGTTCTCTCTTGTTTTTTAATTAACATATTCACTTTTATGTTCGATAAAAAAACATGGCCCTAACTCTTGCCGCAAGTTTAATGTTACATCAACTTTTGACCAAAAATATAATAAACATTCCGAAAATTCAAAATTGTATTCAAAATTAATGAAATACAAGTTTTGCAAGTGTGTATTTCTAAATGCAGATGTCGACTGGGAGTTGTGATATGGGTGCAAGCATCAGTACTCAAGTGTGATGTAATCAGTGGGATCTAACTAACCGGAGTGCTTTCCACCCGAATACGAATCCCAATCGTCATTTGCGTTTAAATGAACAGCCAGTGAGCAGCTTGGCCTGTGGGCACAAATCATATAACCTATGACGCCACTGTTGGCCTAATGACTTATTGTTCGGCGGTGGCAGGAAGTTTCCAGTCACAAGTTCAAACAGCCTTAATAATTACGCATATTAGGGCGGTACGGACGACACGTAATCGCAACCCCATCCCGCAGATCAATATTTGCACCCTGTACTGGCAGGCCTTGACGGCAACCCTTCACCAATCAGCCATAAACCGCCTGCGGCAAGACTCATCTCTGCCCGTTCCCGTTCCCCCGAAAACCCATCCAACCCCCTGCCCCGGACTTGGACGGAAACCGGAGCTGCTGCTCCTTACTACGCTCAAAGGTACTGCTTACCGCGCACAGTCCACTCCTTGGGGACGACCATTGATGTGCTCGGAACAGGCGCCGATGGTGAAGCTGGTAGTGGCGCTCGACGCGTTTCCAACGCTGGCCACCGAGGAGGCACTGGGCGATATGGCCAGGCCCACGCTGTTGCTGCAAGGAGAACGATGTGGCATCTGCTGGGGTTGTTGCTGCGACTGAACCTGAAGCTGGGGCAGGGATTGTGAAAGATGCTGGTGCTGATGCTGATGCGAGGAGGGTGGCGACTTTGACCGCTGCTGGATGTCGAGGAGCTCGCAGGCTTTGCAGTCCACACCGTTCAAGTCCGGATGGTCGGGACAGTGGCTGGGAAACAGGGAGCTCTGCTGCTGATGCTGCTGATGCTGCTGCAGCTGCTGCTGGAGAAACTCTGTGATCAGCTTGACCCGGCTGTCGTTCGATTCATTGGCGGCCAGCGCTGCTAGGGATGCGTGGAAGGAACTGACTTGAGGAGGGTATATGCCACCGGCCGCCGCATGCTGCAGCTGTATTAAATCTGAGCAGGGAACATCCGAGTCATTTGTTTGAGGTGACGCAGACATAGAGCCCATTTTCATTTCGACTTCTGACGACGAGGAAGATGGCGGTTCTACACCTTGGTTAGAATTGGTTGACTTATTGATACTTATATTATCAGTACTGGGTAATGAGACCTCTCCGGATGCGGATGCGGATGCGTATGCCGATGTAGGTGAACTGGTTGAGGATACTTTTGATAGGTTATTAGTCTTTGCTGTTGCTGAGTTTAAGGAACCAAATTTCACAGTGGCTTTCACTGCTACTTGAGGCGATGATAATGGGAGATATGCACTAGGTGCCGCCATTTTACTACTACTGGAGTCCTGGTCAGTCTCAGGCTCCTGCTCCCGGCCCTGGTCCGGGACCCGGACCTGCTCAGCCATCTGCTTGCCCTCGGGCTCCAGCTCCAGCTCCATCTCCAGTTCAGACTCATTGCCGAGAACTGGCTGCGGAGACTGAGGAAGAACGGGGCCACTGCCCTCGGAGGCTACTTGAAGCTTCTCGGTGTCATCGCTGGCAGAGCAGGGGGCGTTATTATCCAATGGCTGCAGAAAGGATATCTGCGGCTTCTCATCCATATTTCGCTGAATAATGGCACTGGAGTACTCGCGATTAAGTAGCTGCTGGTCCAGCTCTTCCAGGTTGAGTCTGTGTTCGGTGTTCGCATGCAAACTGAAGGACTTGACGTTGCCAAAGGACAACTTGCATATAAAACACATTAAAATTGGCTTTTGGATTTTGAATGTTCTGATTTGATCCTGGCAAGCTGAGTTTGCATCTTGTGCGGATACGACACGAAAGGAATGGACTTTTGGACTCGACTTGTAGGTGGCTCTCCCTACCGTTTCGATACCAGGACCAGCATCCACATCAGCTAGTTCCTGCTCCTGTGTTTCGCCCTGACCTTGATGATGTTGATGCTGGTGTTCCTTTTCCTTCTCCCCCTGTCCACGATCTTTTACCGTTGAGAGTTTCTTTACTGAATTCGCAGTTGGGGTATAACAACTTTGAGCAGACCCCGATCCACTTCCATTGGCATTGTCTGTGGCGATAACGTATGCACTGCCATCGAGATTGTAAACTATTTTGCCGTTAAAAGTTTCCACATCAGAACTGGACATTGGAGAGCCGTCGTCATTACCATTATTGGAGCTAAAATTTAAAAAACAAACCCGCTTTTTAGTGAAGTGTAATGAATGACTGAAAAGAATTTTGTTTTATTGATTTTTGGCGCCTCAAACCCCAAATTCTCTGAAAATGTTCTTGATTTGTAGTAAAAGGGATAAAACAAGTACGATATCAGCTAAAAAAGAGAGGACTCTTAGAGAGAGAGAGAGTTACGCTTAGATATCCTTGCAGATTACTACTAACTTACAAACATATTAAATTTAAAGTGACTTGCGTATATGTTACAACCAACCAAATTTTAGCTGCTTTCGTAATATTTTGACATTTATATTTTGATCCTTCCAGCTATATAATGAAGCCGTCTGAATTTTGAAAATTTAATTCAAAGAATTCGAAGAATATGTCATAAAACATCTAAGCTATAATTTTTTTTCAATAATTTTTTTGATTTTTTCTATGGGAGCTATAAGATATAGTGGCCCGATCCGGCTGGATCCGACTAACAGAAAGAAGAATTTTAAAAAAGTTTCAACTTAATAGCTTTAATACTGAGAGACTATTTTATGTAAAAACGGACGGACAAACAAGCATGGCTAGATTGACTCGTCTAGTGATACTTATTTGGGATCGGAAACGTCTCCTTCACTGCGTATTATGATTTCAGTCAGAAGTATTTTAACAAGTAGAGTTGTGCTAAGACCAATACTAAACCATATTTATTATATTACTACTTGAGAAAAAATATTGATTATAGACAAGGGAGAACGCTATAGTCGGGTTGGTGCCCCGGCTATCTAATACCCGTCACTCGGCTAAAGGGAGTGCGAGGGAGATGGATATATAACATTTTTTTGATTGCGTATAACTTTTATTTGAATGGTCCGATTTGAAAAGTAACTTCTACATTTCGATAGGTATAAATATACACAAAAAAATTGCATTTATACTTCTCGGAAATCTTTAAAGGTATGGGCGCCAGACACATTTTAAAATCGTTAGTGGGCGATTGTGGGCGTTAGAGGGGGCGTGGCGCTCGGCTAAAATAAACTTGCGCTGCGTAAGAAGCCCAAGAATATATGTGGAAAATCTCAACCTTCTAGCTTTCGTAGTTTCCGAGATCTCAGCGTTCATACAGACAGACATACGGACAGACGGACATGGCTAGATCGACTCGGCTAGTGACCCTGATCAAGAACATATATACTTTATGGGGTCGGAAACGCTTCCTTCTAGCTGTTACATACTTTTGCACGAATACAATATACCCTTTTACTCTACGAGTAAATATGTTAATATATATCACTGATATTTATCTATTTAAATGCATTTGATAAAAAGATGTATCCCCAAGCGGTATTAACCTGGAATTTAATGCATAAAGTGCATACATATGTATATAGGATATACAGATCTCATATTTTACCGGGTATAAGGAGGACTTCCCTCTGACGAAAGTAAGTATAGAATATCACTTTGATTCATCAACCTATGCGTTTGGACATCCCAGTTGGACGTTGAACCAATAACTAGCTAGGTTAAAGCAACATCTTTTTAATTTCAGCCGTCCTGCTCGGGGAGGGGGAGGAGTGGGTGTCCCGCCACAGCTTTTACGCATACTTTACAATATTATTGTCTCGTTTGGAATGGTGTAGGCACAAATAGAAAAGTTCACTGCCTTATGGCTTTGCACAAAACAAAGGAAGTCAAGGTTTTCCTGCTGTCATCCCCACATCCCCACACCCCCGATCCGCATCCGTCCCTTCTTTGATTCGTTCGGACTATTCGCGCGTGCCTTTTTGTTGTATGTCTTTATTTCTCTGGAGTCGTCGTTATCTGTTCTTCATATTCCTCAACTGGTTTCACTCAGCCGCTTTTGCAGGCTTTGCTTATGCTTATGTAGCCAGTACACCCACATACAAATTCCGTGATATATCAGCCACCACCATCGAGTGGCATGTGGCCCAGCCCGGCCCGGTGGTGTTTCGTTTTGATTCTGCCTGCGAGTTCGACTATAGCCTTTGCTTTCGTGGTTCGACTGTGGTTTCGGCTGTGCTTCCAGCTGAGGTTACAGTTGAGTTGGTATGCAAACAACTCTTGACGTACTCTGAAACCAGGACCAGGTCCGAGCTTAGCCTGAGCAGCGCGTTTTCCATTGCACCTTTAGCCTAAAGAATCATTTTTGTTCTTTCTTTTCAGGAATGCCAATGACGCGGTTGCAAAGGCGACTTGCGAAACAAACTTATTTTTACCTTGGCGGAAAGCTTACAAATGCATAAGAAGACGACTTCGTCTATAACACCAGTTTACAAATTAAAATCGACCTCTTCCTCATCGAAGACAACCTTAATTTTCCGGTTAAGTACATCTCCCTGATTAAGAAATGGGCCCTTAAAAATGTTTGTATGGTGTCAATTTTTATACCCTTGTAGAGGGTATTATGATTTCAGTCAGAAGTTTGCAACGCAGTGAAGGAGACGTTTCCGACCCCATAAAGTATATATATTCTTGATCAGCATCACAGACGAGTCGATCTAGCCATGTCCGTCTGTCCTTCTGTCCGTCTGTCCGTCTGTCTGTTTCTACGCAAACTAGTCTCTCAGTTTTTGAGCTATCGGGATGAAACTTTCCTAAAAGTCTTCTTTCTATTGCAGGTAGTATATATGTCGGAACCGACCGGATCGGACAACTATAACTTATAGCTCCCATAGGAACGATCGGAAAAAAAACGTTAAAAAATTCTAGCTTCGGTGTTTTTTCAAGTATTACCTTCTACTCTTGGGAATATTTTTATACCCGTTACTCGTAGAGTAAAAGGGTATATTAGATTCGTGCAAAAGTATGTAACAGGTAGAAGGAAGCGTTTCCGACTCTATAAACTATATATATTCTTGATCAGGATCACTAGCCGAGTCGATCTTTCCATGTCCGTCTGTCCGTCTGTCCGTCTCTCCGTCTCTCCGTCTGTCTGTCTGTATGAACGCTGAGATCTCGGAAACTATAAAAGCTAGAAGATTGACATTTTGCATGCAGATTCTAGGAGTTCCTACGCAGCGCAAGTTTGTTTCAAAAGAGTGCCACGCCCCCTCTAACGCCCACAATCGCTTATATACGATTTTAAAAATTTCAATATTTCGAAAAAGTAAAAATGCAGTTTTATTGTGTTTACTAATACCTATCGAAATGTAGAAGAAATTTTTGAAATCGGACCATTCGTTTAAAAGTTACGGCGGATCAAAGTCCCTTTAGCTGAGTAACGGGTATCTGATAGTCGGGGCACCCGACTATGGCGTTCTCTCTTGTTTTATATATATTTCTGAATTTCGAATTAAATATTTTAAAAATCGGATCACTATATCATATAGCTGGCATAGGAACGGTCGAAAAATTAAATGGAAATTAATAGGAAAACAAATTATATCTTTGTTGATTTTTATTACATTCTCTTCTACTCTGGGATATGACCATTTTTAAATATTTCCGAATTTCGATTTTAATTTTAAAAAGATCGAACTACTATATCATATAGCTGCCATAGAAACGATCGAAAAATTAATGTAAAATAATGGGAAATTTAACATTTTTGCGAATTGTAAATTAATAGGAATAATCTGCAAGGGTATATAAGCTTCGGCTTGCCGAAGCTAACTTCCTTTCTTGTTTTAAAGTGTAAAAAGCGTTTTTGATTCTTTTTTATTGTCTATTTTGAGTTGTTGACCCATTTTACAGGTAATAGAATGTTCTTGCATAAAGGACTTCGTTAAAATACACGCCTGAAAACCGAAATTAGTTTTACATCTAACTATTTAAGTTAGGATAACTTTATTTAGGTCCTTACAGAAGATATTATAATATCAGTCAGTAGTTACCCTATTAAGTGTACAGCATTAGAAATTGCTTTAAATGCTTTGCGTTGTATGCTTTTACTGTTTACTGCTATGACATTTTATAAAAGTCGAAAGCAATTAACAAATGAAAATGATGACACAGATCATCATGTCAATTTTATAACCTCGCAAACAATACTGAAATTTTGGAAAAAGGTTTGTAACGCAGTGAAGGAGACGATTCCGACATTTTATTATTTGCTCATAACTAATAAATGGTCCGATTTCAAAAATATTTTGGCTTAGCGATAGCTAACAGTCCCCAACCACAAAAAATTGTCAATTCTACCAAGTAAATAGGTGTATGTCTTTGCTAATTGTGTGTATTTGTTATTTTGAAAGTAAATAATTAATTATAACAGTTAATTTTACCAATAAATTGACTAAAAACAGAAAAGGAAGCTAACTTCAGCCAGCGAAGTTGCAGATCCCCCTTTGCACGAATACAATATACCCTTTTACTACGAGTAACGGGTATAAAAACAAGAGAGAAGTCGAGAACTTCGACTACCAAATACCTGTTACTCAGCTGAAGGGAGATGGAGATGATGATCCGATTTAAAAAAATTTTGATAGGTATTTTTAAACACAACCAAAATTCATTTATACTTTTCCTAACACAATGTGGGCGCGAGACACAATATAAAGTCCTTTAAGGCGATGGTGGGCGTTTGAGTGGGCGTGGCGCTAGGCTGAAACAAACTAGCGCTGCGGAGGAAGCCCAAGAATATGTGTGGGTAATCCCAACTTTCTAGCTTTTGTAGTTTCCGAGATCTCTGTGTTCATACAGACAGACCGACAGACGGACTTGGCTATGTGTTACATACTTTTGCAGGAATACAATAGTCTCTTTTACTCTACGATGTCCATAAATCCATTTATAGTCCATTCAGTTCTTAAATATATGTATAATGAGCAATGTATAGCCAAGTAAAGCATTTTGTAATCCTTTGTTTCTTAATAAACTTCTTTTTTTTTCTGGATGTAGGGTTGGCATTTCTCCCTGTTACATACCGAATTTGGCCATCATTTTCAGAAATGGTCTCGACATGATTATAAACCAAAAATTGTAGGAGAATTAACTAAATTGTATATGGATATGGATTAAAAATTATGGAAAAGAATTAGGTACTTAAAAAG